CACGCTCTTGGACGCGTGCACGAAGTGGTGGGGTATCACGTGCGCCAGAGGGCTGTGGGGGCCGTGGTGGGAAATTCAAATGGTGGAGGGCAGGGAGGAGCGCCAAAGACTGGCACGGCAGCCCCGGCGAGCAGCCGCTGGTGCCGGTTCTGCAGCTAGAGGCATCAGCGGCAGCATCGCCCTGTGGAGGCGGCGAGGAGTTCCGACCCTGGCCTTGTTGGAGCCTAGGAGGCGAGCAGCCAGAGAGCGCACCCTGCCCATGCTCAGACTCCCAGGCTGCTGGCGCTGGCAGGCATTCCTGCACCCCTTCAAGCATGTGCCCGTGCACAGGGGTGGGGTGAGGTGAGCAGGCACTCCTGCACACCCATGAAGCGGTGGGGGAGCGTGCGTGTGTGCGTGCCTCCGGCACGCAGGCATGGCAAGAACTTTGCAAATGGGCTTTGGTTCCCAACCTGAGGCTGAGAATACCCCAAACCAGCATACGTGTTCTTTCTGCTTTCTTACTGGGGGATGTCCTACCTCTGTTCCCTTCCTGATGTAGACATAAATGCTTCTTTTCCTCTCTCTCTCAATCTCTCCTGGCTCTGCACCACCCCCATCACCGCTGATGCCAGGCCGCAAAGACAGACCTCCCCCCTCCCTGCCTGCATGCACTTGCCTCCCCACAGCTGCTTTGCCCGTGGGGGTGCATGCATGAAGGGGTGAGAGAGTGCTCATGCCGGCGTTGGCACGCGTGGGTGTGCGCAAAGCAGCTGTGGGGAGGGGAGTGCGTGCAGGAGGGAAGTCTGTCTTCGTGGCCTGGTCTGGCTCATGCAAGGGACCGGCACCGGGTCACGGACCGAGGGGTTGATGACCTCTGCCTTAGACCACCACAGCTTTTGCAGGCAGAAAGTGACTGTGGCCCTCCTGTTATAAATTTCCAGATTACAACACTAGACGTGTGTTTTATATGACCCTCCACTATTTTGAGTAGCATGAATGGGATCACAATGACCAGGTAGGCGGAGTATGTAGAAATCAATCAATCAATCAATCAATCAATCAATCAATCAATCAATCAATCAATCAATCAATCAATCAATCAATCAATCACTGCATGTTCAAAAGAGAGTTGTACCCTCTTTTGACCCCTGGAGTGAGGAAGCCATTTAATGGTTGTTAGGTCTATTTTGTGCGCTTCTGCCATTCACAGTTGACTTAGGGAAGTTAAAGCTGTCTCCTGTGAATCCCATCTCCTGCTATTGATGGAGATGGGTGAGATTTGCATCAGGATCTCAGCAGGCTCAAAGATATTTGTGTTCCTTGCAGCCTCCTTTAAGTGCTGAGCAGGTTGGTGTTGGGGATTTTTTTTTTTGGCGGATCAGTATTGTTGTTTCCCCCCATCTGGTTGCCTTGCACATTCCTGTTTGGTTGAGGGTGTCTTGGTGCTGGGGTCAGTGATTTTGTGAGTTTCCCCAAAGCGGATTCAACCGCATTCATTTTATGACACACCCTTTGTAGATTATTAAATATTGCGGTGACAGTTTGAGCTGTGAGCAGGCAGTGTTCTGCTAAGAGGGTAGGCACCTGAAACCGCCTTAACAGGGGAGGGCAGGGAAGATTCAGCATTTATCCCCTCAGTGATTGGAAGCGTTTCATTCCCTCAGTATTGCAAATTGGTTGCTTAGGTCTACGGGGACCCCAGCCATTAAATTACTCATTGAGCAGTTGGTTGTTAGAAGCTTATCTATTTTCAGTTGCTTCACTGCTTTGCCTGGGTGATGACCCGGGCTTGATCTATGATGTTTATTTCCCATTTGCACTCAATACACTGTGTGGCAGGTCGGTGAGAATGTGAGGATTTGCTGATTGCAGGTTCAGAGCAGTTTGCTCCTCTCACTGACGACAATCTGTCTCCCATTTTCACCTCAACAGCTTCTCATCCTGTCACTCTTCTCTGGCGTGCTTTCTCCAAGTTCTCATAAAGTAAAAGTTTTGAAATCCATTGTGAGGAGGCTTGTAGTTTTACAAGGGCTGTTTAAAGCCACAGGTGTGAAACAAACTCAAAAGAAATGCTCCAACCAGAAACCAAGAGACAAAATCTTCATTCAAATAGTTAAGACAGTAGAAGCCCTTCGTTGTCTTATGTGATGTGGTGCTCTTCTTCCTTGCAACCATCCAAAGTTCCAGTTAAAATATAAGGTGAAATATTAAAAGCTATTTATTGTATTTATACCCCACCTATCTTGCCAAACGACCACTCTAGGCGGCTTTTAATATTTTACCTTATACAGTGGTGCCTCGCATACCGAGCGCACTGTTTAATGACGAATCCGCTTACCGAAGTGGATTTTGTGATCACTAATGCGATCGCATACCGATGTTTCTTCACATTGCGATGGGGGAACAGGGGTTTGGCGCTTCCAAAATGGCCATGGGAACACCCAAAATGGCCACGGGATTTTGCGATCGCTAATGCATTGTGAGGGGGAACAGCTGTTCGGCGGTGGCCGGAACACCCCAAATGGCTGCCGGAACACCCAAAATGGCCGCTGGAACACCCAAAATGGCCGCCGGAACACCAAAAATGGCCGCCGGAACACCCAAAAGGCCGCAGGAACATGGGGAAACATCGCAGAATGGTGAGTTTTGGTGAATGGGTTTCCCCGTTCTGTTTAGCGATATTTCCCCATAGCGAAGTTTAATCCGGAACGGATTAACCTCGCTATGCGGGGCACCACTGTATTTTAATTGGAATATTTTACCTTATATTTATATATAATGTTAAGGCTTCAGAGTTCAGCAAAAGGTTAATTTTGTTGACGGCAAGCAAATCTCATTTAAAAAATGCTGAGTGATTGGTTTTTCAAAATAGGCAAGTGGAGGAGGCTACTCGTGGCGGCAGCCGACTCTTCTATGATCAAAGCTGCAAGTAGTAAAAACTTATTTCTAAAAGCTTAAAAGATAAAAGAATCAAAGCATAAAAGGGAGTGGAGCTTGGAGCATGCAGTGTCTCTCCCTTGAGCCATCAAGCTGGGTATTCACGTTACCCACCTCAGAAAGAAGGAAACCTGAGTCAGCTTTGGGCCATATACCTCGGTCATTTCATAGAAAAAGGGCTGCTGGTACACTCATTAGCATAATGTATTTGCTTATATGACCCCTGCAAATTATTTTGAGCAGTATGAGGGGAAAGTATTTGAAAACAGAGGCTGATCTTTTGGGTTTTCAGCCAAGAACTACCATTCTGTGGAAAAGGTAACACTGTTCAGGATTCTTGGTTTAATTAGAATAACAATACACCGGCCAGAATTCAATCACTATTCATTTAATGTTTGCACAATTGACTGCAGTTAATCAGGTCTAACAAAGGGACATGGTGGCGCTGTGGGCTAAACCGCAGAAGCCTGTGCTGCAGGGGCAGAAGACCAAGCAGTTGTAAGATCGAATCCACGTGATGGAGTGAGCTCCCGTCGCTTGTCCCAGCTCCCGCCAACCTAGCAGTTTAAAAGCATGCAAATGCGAGTAGATTAATAGGGACCACCTCGGTGGGAAGGTAACAGCGTTCCATGTCTAAGTCGCCCTGGCCATGTGACCACGGAAGATTGTCTTCGGACAAAACGCTGGCTCTATGGCTTGGAAACGGGGATGAGCACCGCCTCCTAGAGTCGAACACAACTGGACAAAAATTGTCAAGGGGAACCTTTACCTTTACCTTTAACTAATAATGTGCCAGGGCATAAGTTGTTTGGGTAAGAGGCTGCATTTCCCTGTGGAAGGCAGCGGAGTTTTCTGAAGGACACTAAATGGGAACACTCTCGCTCAGCCTAGGGCAGCAATGGCAGGCGAACCTATAGCACGCGTGGCACAGCTGGCAGGCAGGCATCTCTCTGTGGGCACACAATGCATAAGTCGCCATCGGGAAATACTTACCCACCCTCTGATCCCAGATTTTGGCACTCCGCTCTGCTGGTGCAGTGGTCCAGCGGAGGGGTGCAATGGCAGCCATTACCGGTTTAGCCCAAAGGGGGATTGGAGGACCATTAAGTATTTCTCTGGTAATACTGCCCTGGGGGGTGGGAACCAAGCATTTAAGCCTTACAGTGCAGGGGCAGTTGCTTTTTTCTCTAAACTAAAACCTCAGGATTTAGGTTTAACTGCAGTGTTGGCGCTTTGAAATATATAAGCTGATTTTGTGTTGCAATTTGGACACTCGGGCTCAAAAAGGTTCGCCATCACTGGCCTAGGGCAACACATAAACTGGGACTGGATCCCCTTTATCCCTCCGTTAAGGGGAAAAGAGAAAAACAGAATTTTTTACCTGTGAATAAGTTACCAGTTGAGTTCAAAGTTAACGTTATTGGTTTGAGGCAAGAAATTGACTGTGATTTGTTTGGGACAGAGGACCTGAAAGGGTCCCCCGAAGGTGAACCCTCACAGGATGCCACAACTCACAGAAAAACTGTCAGGAGCTGTCTTGTAAATATGTTCAAAATTATCCACGCTCATCCAGTCAACATCCTTATTTTCATAATTCAGGCTGATTCTCGGAAGACGGCTCATTCCAATCTGAGCATTTATTTCGATTTCAAGGCAATTTTTGTAAAACGATAAAGTTCAGATCGTGTTAAAACCATTCCAGTAAAACATACGATTAAAACAATTTTTAAAAAAACCCACCCCAAGAACACAAGGCAGGGAGTTGCACATAACACATCCTCCTTCACCATATTAAAAAGTTCATTTACAGCATATCACCCAGGTGACTGTCTACTTATTGTTGCAAAATGGATAATGGGGATGGAGTTGAAGGAAGACATTTTGTGCACTTTTCAAAGCTTCCCCTCTCTGTGCATCTGCCGATGTCTGATGTGCTGGGCTCTGCAACGGAAGCTTTCTCCACAATCTTGGCATGAATAGGAATTATTGCTGGAATGAATTTGTTTGTGCTGTCCAAGATCTTTGCTCTGGCAGAAGCTCTCCCCACACTCTTTACATTTATATGGTTTCTTCTCCCCAACGTGAACTTTTTGATGATCTGGGCAACTCTGAAACATTTTCCACATTCTTTGCATGTATAGGGTTTTTCTCCTGAGTGAATTCGTTGATGTACTATAAGATTTCCTTTCTTGCTGAAACTTTTCCCACATTCACCACACTGATAGGGTTTCTCCCCTGAATGAGAGTGCTGATGTACTTTTAAATTTGAGGCAACTCTGAAACATTTTCCACATTCTTTGCATGTATAGGGTTTTTCTCCTGAGTGAATTCGTTGATGTACTATAAGATTTCCTTTCTTGCTGAAACTTTTCCCACATTCACCACACTGATAGGGTTTCTCCCCTGAATGAGAGCGCTGATGTTCTTTTAAACCTATGGCAACTCTGAAACATTTTCCACATTCTTTGCATGTATAGGGTTTTTCTCCTGAGTGAATTCGTTGATGTACTATAAGATTTCCTTTCTGGCTGAACTTCTTCCCACATTCATCACACTTATAGGGTTTTTCTCCAGTGTGAGTTCGCTGATGTACTGTAAGGTTTGCTTTCAAGCTGAACTTTTTCCCACATTCATCACACTGATAGGGTTTCTCCCCTGAATGAGAGCGCTGATGTTCTTTTAAATTTGAGGCATTGCTGAAACATTTTCCACATTCTTTGCATGTATAGGGTTTTTCTCCTGAGTGAATTTGTTGATGTACTATAAGATTTCCTTTCTGGCTGAACTTCTTCCCACATTCATCACACTTATAGGGTTTTTCTCCAGTGTGAGTTCGCTGATGTACTGAAAGGTTTGCTTTCAAGCTGAACTTTTTCCCACATTCATTGCACTGGTAGGGTTTCTCCCTTGAATGCAAGTACTGATGTCTGGTTAAACTTGAAAGATGCCTGAATTCTTCCCCACAGTCTTTGCAAATGTAGGGGGTTTCTCCTGAGTGAATTCGTTGATGTGCTGTGAGATGTGTGGATTGGGTGAAACTCCTACCACATTCATCACATTTATAGGGTTTCTCTCCTTTATGAATTCGCAAGTGTACTCTAAGATCAGAAGTCTCCCCAAAGCCCTTTCCACATTCATGACATTTGTAGGGCTTCTCTCCTGTGTGTACCCTTTGATGCCTCCTAAATCCTGAACGGGTACTGAGGCTCTTCCCACATTCCTTGCATTTATATGGTTTCTCTTCAGAGTTTTGTTGTTGAGAGACTTCAAGGGCAGAGCTTACACTGAAGCATTTTTGAGACCTGAAGGCTTTGATATTTTTCTGCCCTGTGTTAAATCTCGTATCTTCTGGGCTCAATCTGGATCTCTTTCTATGTTCCAAACAATGACACCATTTCCCCTCTGTGTGGCATCTTGGACATTTCACAGGGCTTTTCCTCAGAGCGCTGTTTTGTCCAGACTCTGAGCTTTGAAGAACGCAGATACATCTGTTTGATATCCTTCCCATTTCTTCTTCACAGACAACATTCCTCAGATGTTGATGAGATATGTCTTTCCTCAGGTCTGCCTGGTTCTGGTTCTGCCTCTGGGATTCTTCTGCATCAGGACAGTTCTCATTTTCATCTTCCATTCTTTCCGGTGATACTGTGTGGAGTTTTCCTTCCTTCTTTTGTGCATCATCTGCTGGAAGAAGGAGAGAGTTCATAGTGGACTGAAGAGCTAGTGGTTTACTGGGGGGAATGGTCGTTGAGAAGACAGAATATTGCATTCATTACCTAGGGTTCAACCTACTTCATATCCAGGAAATATTTTTCTTCACCTAAGATGTTTAAAATATCTATCTTTCTATCTTTCTATCTATCTATCTATCTATCTATCTATCTATCTATCTATCTATCTATCTATCTATCTATCTATCTATCTATCTATCTAATTTAATCTATCTATCCTATCTAATCTATCTATCCTATCTATCCTATCTATCTATCCTATCTATCCTATCTATGTATCCTATCTATCTAATTTATCTAATCTATCTATCTAATCTAATCTATCTAATCTATCTAATCTATCTATCTATCTATCTATCTGTTACATACAGCACTGATGTTACCTGTCTGTCATGGGTTTGGAGGGAAAGTTCCATCCTATGGGGAGTGGAAGGCGGGACATCAGGAGGAGGGGCTGTACTGTATATATATGTGGAGCGTGTGTGGAGACGCTGGGATGTGACGAAGCAGCAGCTGGGAAGAAGAAGCTGGTGTGGGAGTCTGTGTGTCAGACAGGGTACTACTGTGTGTCAGAGTACCAACCTGATAGGTTCAGGTGTCTGTTGGTTAGCCAGAACTGATAGGTTCAGGGTCTGTGCTTCAAGTTAAGGGTTCTGTGCGAACCAAACTGTATGCATGTATGAATGAGAATAAGCCACGTTACTTTATCTTATTCACCTGATCATTTTATTTTCCCTGTGTGTGATTTAAATAAACCTTATTCTTTTATTGGTTAAAAATCCATCCCTGGTCTGTGTGACTTCTTACAGGGAATGGTTGGTGGCAGCTTAGTTAACGTGTGGCA